TCCCCGTGGTTTTGTGCAGTTTTTTTTTTCTCTGGGACCTCTGGTTTTCCCCTCCACATTTATAAACATGCGTTTAGACTGTTTAGATTATTTTGCTGCTATAAATGTCCAACTGATTAGCCACTCTGTGTTGAGCTATCGTTTGTGGCCAGGTCGCTTTAAAAAACAATTAAATACCTCAGTGGGCTTTGCCTGGTAAGATGCGGATGATTTAGTTGGATTTGTGTGTGTTTGGGTGATTTATTTACCTTTCTTGTGCTTTGCACTCCAATCGTATTTTGCATTGTTAGTTATTGTGAAGCTCTTCATAGCTCATCCGATTTTCTCAAGTATAAATATTGATTCCGAATTGAAGGTGGACACAACTCCACTGTGGTGGCTGCCACCACAGTGGAGTTGTGTCCCCCCCCCTCCCCCCAACATCATTCACACCCTCGAACGCCGCCACGTACGCCACTGTCGTGAAAACTTCGCCACTTCCGTGGTCAATTTCGCCCCCAATTCTGGGAACAATGGATCCATCCATTCATCCATGCCCCTCGGTGGTTGCGCAAAGCAGACGACGCATCGCCAACTGCCGCCACCGTCCGGCTTACACACAGCCCGGGCTTGTAACATGCAACAAAAGCCGCATGCAGCAGCAACAACAACACCATCTCAATTGTTGTCAGCAGTGGCATAGTGACAACATTATCAGCTCAGGGGGGGGGGGCGGGGGGGGGGGGGGAGCAATCGGTCAGGTTTTTGGGGGGGAGGGAATATTGAATTTGTCTCGGAACAGTCGCACACCCAGGCTATAATATATCACTGCCCCTCTATGCCTAATCACATCGTCGTCGTTTACGCTCACGCCACTAATCACCCCACCACTGAAGGTGCTGCCCGTCTACCTGGTGACACTGTGATGATGATGATGCTGATGAAGACAACACAGAAACAAAACACGCGATGCGCAGTTTTTTTTCTGCGGAAAGCCCAAACATTATGAATTACCGCTCTAGTTAAATAAAAATAAAACGTCGACCCTAAATGAAAATTTTTCATGACAACAACAATTTAAGTATTGTTATTTTACACTGTTGTTTAAAACATATCTCACGGTGGTTGTCAAGGAGGGGGGGGGGGCGGGGCAATTCGTAGCTTTGGCCACCCACGCAATTGGTTACATAGTAATCAACCCTTCCACGTCGCCTGGTCTTGAGACCATCCCACCCAACTGCTGCCATTCGAGCTGCGATTGCAATCTGGGGCTGTACACCAGTAACACAAAGCCAAGACCCCGCCACACCAAAGATCCCCCGAGTAGCCTTCAACAGGCTGTTGGGGCGAGTGCTGCTAGCGAAGGCCGGCAGGGAGCACGAGGGGGTGGGTGGCACAATATCTTCGTGGCGATGTTTGTACACCGCTACAAGGTACTCTTTTGAGATAATCGTCACTGGTGTTGGCCGTGAGCGGGAATCGAACCTCTGGATTGCACAGCGCGTTACCGCAACACTACCTCTCCCCGCGCAGGTAAATCGTCACCACTACGCTGACATACACAACCCGGTTTACAGGTTGTGCTATGGCACCAAAACAACAATGGCCTGGCCCTGTAACCGCACCCTTCCGATTAGCGGGCGGGGCCGACTACGTACGCGGTGCGAGAGAAATTAAACCACACGGCACACCACGCAACACACAACCCGTTCTCACCGGGATCTCCAATAATGGGGGGCACGATGACCGGCAAACCGCCGAACCTGTACGGCATTGCTGCCCGGCTTTGTGCGGCCACGATGCCGGGGGCATTTAACACACGTGCACCCCCCCCCCCCCCCCTCGTGTGCCCGTGCGCGTTTTGTGTACCGCGTGTTTCTCCCACCCCTTTCCCACAACTCTGCGGACGTCCCACACAATGGGCAAGGAGGGGGGACTGGCGAGCGAGCAAGCAGCAAGCACCCTTGGTCAATGCGAGCATCTCGCGGTAGGTAGGCTGGAAGGAAACAAGTTGGCGCTTCCACCCTTTGCAAATGTTGCCTTTGGCATGCACGACGATGTCACTCGTTACTGTACTCGCTTCATTCACTATCTTTCGTTTGCAAAGATGCCAATCGGGTGTATTTCACAAGCGTGCGCTTTTCCCCTCCACCTTATATTTGCACGGTTGGCTACGTACGGCGCGAAAGAAATTCAACATACGTACATGTACAAGCCCTTTTGTCAATCCACTGCGGGATGAGGGCCTCCCCACACCTGCTTAGGGGTAATACGAGTTATATGACTATACTTCACCACGCTGGTCAGTGCGAATTGCTCAAACGCGAGGGAGCCATAGAAGAGGGCATTGGAGTAGAGTACAACAATTTATCTTACTGCACTGCCCTCTACTGTTCACCGCATAGCCCCGCAAGCCCAATTCTTGAATTGGCCTTGTGCTAGATGGGAAAAGCTAAACAATATTTTTTGTTCTCACGTGAAGGGTCAGATATTATATCCTCCATAATGACCCTGATTACGTTGTTATGCGCTCAGCCATCCAAGCACTTCCACCTTCAACCCTACATAGTTTCTGACACCCAATGGATTCAGTTTTTGTTTATTTCACATATAGATTACCTTCATAACCATATCAGAGTCCAACCAGACCATATGTCTCTGTACAAATGAAGACCAGAATAGCTACAAAGGGGGCATCTGTTACCTAAAATGCAATATAACAGCTATTACCGCACTATAATACAACTCATGCGTAGTCGTATTTCAGCTATGAGACTGCCACCCATTGGCCGACCTCTGTGAATGACATCACACAGTCTTTAACGTCCCCTTTACGGGAGATGGGGGGGGGGTGTCATGGTGCAAAGGTAAATCCCATCTAAAATGACTGCTGTGAAATTGTCCACCTGGATGAGACTGAGTGACTAGAGGGTGCTGAACACTCGGCCACCTCAATTCATCTCTCTTCATCCTGTCTCCCCGAGCCTCTCTCTTTCGCCACATACGTCTCTCTCTCTCTCATTTTTCACATACGTGTCGCTTGTCACACATGTGTCTCATATTTCGTCTCTCTCCCTCCCCTCGGTGACTCGAGCCGGTCTCTCTTGCCTCTCTCTCTCTCTCGGCTTCACGCACTTCAATGTCTCTCCATTAACCGCGTACAATTTATTCTCCACCGTTGTCAATATCTCCGAGCTCTCTTCGTGTATCTCGTTGTTATGGGCTATTTTCTTTTAAATCTCCTGTCGCAGACCTTTCCTCTCCACATTATCTCTCCTCTCTGCCTTGTTTCCCTCTGTCTCTTATCTCTAGTCCCTCAATTTCACGTCTCATTGTCTTATCTGCCCTGCCTCCCGAACTGGACTTCACGTGCCTCCCCATGTCCATTCTATATCGTGTCTCCTCGTCTCATCTCTCCCGTCTTTCAGCACGGTATCTGCATGTCTATTCAGACCCTCGCCATATCTCTCATCTCCCTGCCCTGTTGAAGGGTTTGACACCTCCCCATGGACATCACAAGTCACCCATATTTCTCTCATGGCATGTGTCTTCATGTCACGAATTCCCTCCCCTACTCTGCCTGCTGTCCGCTGGGGCTCTTACCTCGCCTGTTTCTGAAGCGTCTCTACTGTCTCTGCTCCCGTCTCTCCAGGTTTCTTATCTTTTTGTTAGTACTCACATCCCTCCTTCCTACGGCTCGAGTCTCAGCGTCATTCTGCCTGGATTGTATCTCCGCCCCTTGCCTCCTGCGTCTCCGTATGGACATCTCAAGTATCCCATAGTGCATTTCGCTCTCTCTCTCTGTGTGTAGACATCCCAAGTGTCTGACCTCTGTCTCCTGTCCCGCATACCCCGGCTTGCTTCCAGTCTAACTTGTCTACCCAGTCCCGTCTCTCCTCGACATACCTCGCATACTGTATCTTCCGTTCTCCCACTCTCAACATATCTCTCTCTCTCACCACGCTCTCTGCACGTCAGTTTCCGTGCCTTCTCCTCCCCATCGCCGTCGGTAGCGTCTCGTCTATACAGTGCCGTATTTATTTTCACCGTCTCGCCCGTACTAATCGGCAATCCATTTGCCAGCCATTCAGCAAGCCACCTCGTCACCCAGCGGTGATGGTATGACATCCCGAGTCTCCCCCGTATCTCTCTAATGTCCCGTGTCTTCCCGTCTTGTCTCCCTGTATTCTACCTATACTTCTGAACGCTCTCACCCCCCCCCCCCAATGTATCTGCCCTATCTTGTCTCTCGTTCCTCTCAATAATCCACGGGCCCCCCACTATCTCCCACGTCATGTCTTCGTGTCCTGCAACCATGCCTCCTTGTTTGGATATCCCAATGCGTTCCCATATTTTTCGATTTAAAGCTTTCGTGACTGCAAGGATTAATCTTCTTTGGTTCTTTCGGTAAAGTCACGTAGAATGAGAATAAAATAATAAAATAACACAATAAAATTCTCACGACGTTTCGGCCACAACGCAAGCGACCGTCTTCAGGTGAAAGGTACAGACCTGTCGGGACGACAGAGCTTCAATGAACGTTGTTAAGATTCGTAGCGACTTTTAAAGTGAGGCACCTTGGTAAAGGGGTTTACATATCAAATAGCTGAGGGATTAGCTTGTAAAACCCCTTTATCAAGGTGCCTCACTTTAAAAGTCGCTACGAATCTTAACATCGTTCATCGAAGCTCTGTCGTCCCAACAGGTCTGTACCTTTCACCTGAAGACGGCCGCTTGCGTTGTGGCCGAAACGTCTTGAGAATTTGATTGTTATTTTATTCTCATTCTACGTGACTTTACCGAAAGAACCACAGAAGGCGTTCCCATATCTTCTCTGTCCAGCATCTTCCCTGTCTTGTTCTACTGTCTGACTGCTCTCCCATACACACACACACGCACAATCTCCCTCTCGCTCTTCCTGGCCTTTTCTTATTGACACCCCAAAACGAGCAGCTTCGGGGTGAATCGCAATTCGCGTCTGTTCCGTCCACCCGCCGTCCCAGGCCGCCCGGAGGCCCCACCTGCTTGATGGCTTCTCTCTTCTCCCTCGTCGCGGGGTCCTTCGGCTCTCCACCCGTGGCGCCCACCAGTCGAGGCATCCTCACGTCGGGCACCTTCACTCCAGCGGCAGCTCCGGCCGCAGCCGCCGCAGCAGCAGCAGCAGCCGCCTTCGTCTTGGCCTTGTTCTCCCGCAGGATGTTGTTCTTCTGCGTCTGGATGTCGCTCAGGATGCCCTCCCTGCTTCGGCGAAGGACGCTGCGGGCCTCCTCGAGTGCCCGCTCGTGCTGAAGGCGCACGGCTCGGACAGGGGACGAGGCGGCGGACGCGTCCTGCGCTCTCCCATCTCCTCCTGCTCCACCAACACCACCGCCGCCGCCACCATCAGCAGCCTCCCCGCCTGGCACGAGCGTGCCCGTGCCCTGCTGCTGCTGCTGTTGCCGCTGCTGTTGCTGCTGTTGCTTCAACTGTTGCTGCTGCCTGGAGTCCGGCAAGAAGAATATCGCGCCGAAGCAGAGCGTGATGAAGGCGCTCACGATGAGCAGCAGCACGAACTTCTCGGACAACCGCAGGGTCGGCCTGCTGCCGTACGTCATCTTGCTGCTGCTGCTGCCGCCGCTGCTGTTGCTGCTGCTGCCACTACTGCCGCTGCAGCAGCCCTAGCAGGAGCAGCTGCTGTTGCAACTGCTGCGAGAGGAGCAACACCAGCGGTAGCAGCAGCGGCGGAGAGGAGGAGGAGTACGAGATCCGTCAGGGGCGCCCGCCCATCCCGCCCCAACTGCTGCGGGCACCTCCACCACCACGGCCGCCGCCGCTGCCGCTCCCGCTGCTGCTGCCGCGGCCGCCGCTGCTGCCGTAGCCGCCGCCTAAGCAGCCGCCGCGGCCGCCGCTGCACTGCGCTGCCCTTGTGCGGGCCGCGATATCGCATGAAGCGGGGGCGCCGACCAGTTGAAACAAACAAAAAAATCCGTTTATCGTTGACGAACTGACGAGGAGCAACGAGAGTTTGTTTATCGTTGTAATGATCTCTCTCTCTATGAGAGGAATGAAAGAGAGAGCGTGAATGACGCGAGGAACGACACCGACTACTGCCCACAATGCCCGCACGGCGACTGCCTGCCCTCGACGACCGCGGTCACGTGACCAGCGGAAGAGGCGGGATAGTGGAGCCGGGGTGGGGAGGAGAGGGGGGCGGGGATAGTGGGGCCAAGGCCTACGAGGAAGTGGGCGCGGTTTAGCGGAAGTGGGCGGGGATTGCAGAGCGGGAAGCGCTGACCCGGACGGCGCGCGCCCATTGGTCGAGCGCCGCACCGCGCGGTGTGGGGGAAGGGGGGGGGCACGCGCCATTGCCCCCACTGCGTGGTGCGCTTGGTAGGGTAGGGGGGGATCCCGAAGCGGACTCCGCGGGTTTAACCAATAGCGAGGGGGCGCTTTCTGATAAGGGAGGGGCCTATCGGCCAAAGGGACACGCCTAGCTGTGGAGGCGGTGCCGCCTAGCATGCGCGCTTATCGGCGTTATGCTTTTAGAACGCAACGGATTGCGGCGCCGATCCGTGTTACGCTTTCTAATATCCCGTGACGTCACGAGTGGTAAACACACGTGGCCGAGAAATGGGCGGTGTAAAGCCTCAAGGGGGCGAGACGCGGTGAATGACTCCTAGGATAATGAATCGATAACTTAAACCAGTGTAAATCGATTATCACGCCGACGACGCTGTGAACATTGGGATCGATTCGTTGTGTTGACGATTAAAAACATTATTTCGATTCAAGCATCAAAATAATACGGTATTTTGTAATTAAGCCAAATTGCTATCAGACAGGCAGTACAGGCGAGACGGAACAAACGAGGCGGGATAACTGAGTACAAAGGAGGCAGTTTGATTCGTTTCACCGATAATCCCGTTTCGCCAGATTGCCGGATCTTGTACAAAGGGGCTGTCCATAAATGACGTCACGCGATTTTGGACGATTTTTGACCCCCCTCGTCACATGGCGTCACAAAAAGTCAGACCCCCCTCAAATATGACGTCACAAAACTCTGTCCCTCCCCAAAAAATATATATAAAATATGCTTCAAATCGCTTTAAACTATTGTCATTGAAGGGCGTATTTAATGTGGCTCTGCAATCTGATGTTGTAGGAGAAAACATTAATGAAAAAGGTTTAACACGTAAATTAAGTAGAACGTGTCTATATTTACTTAAAGTTGCGCATTTTGATGTGACGTCACATTTCTCACCCCCCCCTCCCCGTCACACATCGTCACAAATGTTTGACCCCCCCTCCCCCCCCAGGTGCGTGACGTCATTTATGGACGGCCCCAAGGACGATGATCCGTGATGCGTAGCCAGACAGGTGCCGGTGCTGCGCCGGTGCGGGTCAGCTGCGGGGTCCGCGAAGATCAAAGTCGCCAAGAATGCCGGAGCGTCAACGAAGGCGCTCACCGTGGGCATCAGCAGTGGTGGCCCAATCCTGGCCAGCGGTACACACGAGGCAGTACAGACACAACAGTACACACGAGGCAGTACAGACGCAACAGTACACACGAGGCAGTACAGACGCAACAGTACACACGAGGCAGTACAGACGCAACAGCACAAACGAGGCAGTACAGGTGGGAGAGTACACACGAGGCAGTACAGACGCAACAGTACAAACGAGGCAGTACAGGTGGGAGGGTACAAACGAGGCAGTACAGGTGGGAGAGTACACACGAGGCAGTACAGATGCAACAGTACAAACGAGCGAGTACAGACGCAACAGTACAAACGAGGCAGTACAGGTGGGAGTGTACACACGAGGCAGTACAGATGCAACAGTACAAACGAGGCAGTACAGGTGGGAGTGTACACACGAGGCAGTACAGATGCAACAGTACAAACGAGGCAGCACATATGGGAGAGTGCAGACGAGGCAGACAGTCTAAACAAGACCGATGGTACTCTCTGGGTGTTTCAGGTGTCCTGATGACGGACGCTTGTGTTGCGACCGAAACGTCGTGTTTCTTTTATTATTATTATTATTTTCTACCTACGTGACTTTACCGAAAGAACCAGAGAGTATGGATTCCTGCAGTCACGAAAGCTTCAAATCAAGACCAAGACCGATGGTACAAATGACCTTGGAATTCTACGCTGGGAACACTGACCGACCTCTCAATGCAGCACCACTGACATCGTGAACCCAGTCTCAGTGTTCACGCCTCGTCGCGGCTCTTCTCTTGGTGTCGCCTTCGAGCCTCCTCCAGTCGCCAAGCCGGAAAGCTCTCCCTCGGCAAAGATTCCAACAACCTCTCAGCGCACATATTGCGGTTGGTTACGTACGGTTCTAAACGAAAGGCCCACTGAGCTATACGGCTCTTTTTCAGAAGCGACCTGACCACAAAGCGAAAGCTCAACGAAGTGGCTCATCACGTGGGCGTTTCTATCAGACAAACACTTTTAAACGCATGATGTTTCCAAATGTGGAGGCGAAGACCGGAGGACCCGGGGAAAAATCCACGCCACCATGGGGATAGAGAACATACAAACCCCAAATATATCGTCGTCAGGGTCGCGATCGAACCCAAGACCTCCTGTATACCAGGCGAGGTAGTTAACATCTCGCCACCGTGGCCCTCTATCAATGTTGAAAGGTTGAAAGGAGTGCAAACACACAACTCGTAAACGCTTGACATCTCACACTGGCAGTGTGGACCGAACCTTGTAGGTGGCATTAATACCGAACTCTTGTTCCGACATACCTCAAATCGATCTGCATAACATCACCTCCCGCTTCCACCGATTGCTTAGCCCAGCTGCTGCTGAAAGGCTCATCCCAGTCGCGCAACGAGCGTGGTGCCAGAGGGCACCTTGCACCCCCCACCTGGCCAAAGCTACAAATTTGGGCCCCCTTGACAACCACCATGAGAAAACGTTTAAAGAGTGTCAAAGAACAAAAACTTACTTTGCGAAGACGGAGCGCCCCTACAGCGTTAAATGTTCGAGACCGTGAGCTTATCAATGTGATGAGTCAAGAAGAGCCGCGATGTTTATAACAGCCTAGGTGCGACCGTGCGAGATAAATGCAATATTGGGGCCCCAATTCACCGATGGCCGCACCCCCTGAGCTGATGTTGTCGTTACTACGCCACTGCCTCTTCCCATGACTTCATCACGTGCCAGCGCGAATATTGCAAGGCCCTCCTAATTCCTCATCTCCAGACTCCAGATGATCCAAAATGCTGCAGCCAGACTCCTCACCCGCACCCGTAAACGAGACCTCGTCACCCCCGAAACTCTCTCATCTCACTCTGCTCCTCTCCACGCACTCCCCTACCTCTCCCCTCTCATCTCACTCTACTCCCCTCCACGCGCTCTCCTACCTCTCCCCTCTCATCTCACTCTACTCCCCCCTCCACGCACTCTCTTACCTCTCATCTCACTCTACTCCCCCTCCACACACTCTCTGCTCCAGCTTACCAAGGCGTTCTGCCTAACTCGCCAGCCAACCTGAGTTCAGTGGGAGGTCACTCATTCTCCTCTGCTGCCCCCAAAGTCTGAAACTCCCTCCGCCCTGCTAACAGTGCTCTGGACTGCCTGGCCCTGTTCAATTCCAAGCTCGTGACCTTCATTTTTCTCTTCGACCTATAACTAACTGCCTCCATAAAATAAATATCCCCCACTATTTCTGCACCACGCCTTGAGATGTGATCGCGTTTAGACGCTATACGAATTCAAATTACGGTGCATTGTACGAACGAGACGAACAGCACAAATTAATCGTGCAAGCAGCACAAATGGGGCAGCCAGTGCCGGAGAGACAAAAAAATTACACACGTGGAACGTAGTGCAAAAAAGAAGGGAAATAATTGAACGCAACGATTCTTTGAAACGCGGTGGGAGATTCGGGAATTTATGGGGGGAGGGGTGGTGTGGGGGGTGGCGGGGGGTTGGTGTGGTGAGTAGCGGGGGGGGGGGGTGGTGGGGGTGGGGGTGGGGCGGTGGGGGGTAGAGGAGGGTGATAGATGAAGGGAGAGGCGATGGCGACGGGCCAGGAATGGTGCACAGAGTGCTTTGCCCACCCGTCCATCACCCAGCTGAGCAAGCGATGGTGGCTTTAAATGCAGGGCAGATCACGAAGCTCCCAAGTCGGAGTCTGCATGGGAACGTTGTACTTGGTGGTAGTGGGAGGAGGATGGGGGGGGGGGGGTGACTGCCAGCGTTGGTGGTGGGGAGTATATTTTTCTGGAACTCTAGAGGATCACTACGAGGTATAATAAAACTTTATTTTATTTTACCCGGTGAGGCCGACTGAGCTGTATAGTTCTTTTTCAGAAGCAACCTGGCTACACGTGATAACCTAATGAAATAGCTTATAATGTGGAAACCTATATTGGCCAAATACTCTGAACGCATGTTCAGCATATTTGCGACCACGGGGAGAACATGCAAACTTCAAATATACAACAGGGGTCAGGGTCGGGATGGAACCCACGACCTCCTGTATACCAGGCGAGGTAGTTAACATCTCGCCACGATGGCGCCTGAGACAGCTTCCACGGAGGAGACGGAGTGATGAGATCGATTTGCTGGGTGGATCGTTACATCACAGAGTCGTGGGAGGTGGCAGCGGTGGCTGTCCCACCAAATTGCTCCCACGGCCACCTGGTCAGCAGCGGTTGTTTTAGTCACGAGTTATTTTGTCTCACCGGGTGGGAACTCAAGAGACCAGGGTGAGTGGTCTCATTTGCAAGAGTGCCCTGGAGAAATAAGACTGCCAGTAAATGGGGCAATGATTTGTGTCTGTCATCCCAATTGAATAATTGCGGTGTAATTTTCCAAATCTGGCAAATGTGGACTTCTGACGCTGACACACAATGGCCAACTCTTGCGAATGACGTCAGGGAATCTTTAAGGTCCGTGAAGCAGATGGGTGAGCAGTATTATTATTGTTAATACACCCGCAGTATTAACCAGGGAAGCAGCTGCATTCCAGCTGTCAACCTCTGCAACAACCGGTGAATGTCACCGCTAGGCCATATCACCGCGACAACTAAGCCATCTCACTGCTAGGCCATGTCACCACTAAAGCCATATCACTACTACCACTAAGCCACATCAACTCTAGGCCATATCACCGCTATCACTAAACCACATCACCACTAGGCCAT